GTCCTGGGGGCTGGGATCCCGGGGGGCTTGCCTTGGGCGGGGGGCCCCCGGGGGGGGTTTGGGTTTGTGGGGGGTGCTGCTTGGGTTCTGGGGTGCCGGGGTGCCTGGGGCCCCGCTGGGTGGGGGGGGCATGGACATTAACACCCATGGCAAGTGCTTACCCCCCCCCCGGGTTTGCATCTGTAAGTGGGGGGAAAGGGGGGGGGGGGGAGTAGGTAGATCTCGGCCTGGATGTCTTCTGTCGTTGTGTGGTGAGTAGCTTTATTTTATGTAGGGGGGGATTACATCTCGGAGGGGGGTGGGGGGTGGTGGAAAAGGGGAAAGGGGATCTTTGAAGGGCTTCGGGGCTGGCTCCCTGTCTTGGGCCTGGTCCGTGCTGCCCCCCCGGTGGGGCTTGTCCGGGGTGGGGGCCCGGTGTTTTCGGTTGGCTGGCCGGCTGGGGGTTTTCCCCCCCTTATTATTTATTTATTTTTATTATTTTTTTTTTTTCTTATCTTTCCCTTTTATTTTTTTTTTATTAATTAAATTTTTTTTTTTTATTTTTTTATTTTTCTATTTTTTATTTATTTTTTTATTTTTTTTTTTTGGATGGAAGGACGGGGGGGGGGTGGTGGTGTGGCTCCCTGCCCGGCTGGTGGTGGGTCCTGTGGGTCGTCCCCCGGGCTATGGTGGGGGAAACTGGTGGGGGCCCCTTCTTGGGGGGGTTGGGGAACGGGGGGTGCCTTTGGAGTCGGGGGGGAGCTGGCTCCCTGGGAGTGCAGCAAGCACCCCCGTCCCTTTTCTCCCCCTCCCCGAAAACCTCCTCTGCCCGCCCTCACTCTGCCACCATGTAGGTTTTTGGGGAGGGGGGCGTTACGGAGGGGCCCCACCTTCTGATGACGTCCCCCCACCCAATTTTTTTTTGCATTTTAGACATTCCCTCTACATCATTTTTACAACACACATTATGTAGGGCATTTTCGGGGGGTGGGGGTCGGGCCCCCAGGGGGGGGGGGCTTATTTTTTAGGGCCTCCCACGGTCGGCCCTCCATCCCCCCTCGCATCTAGACATTTAGGTTAGGGTTGTCGAAGGGGGGGGTGTGCGGCACCGTCTATTCCTGGAGGGGGGTGGAGGTGCCGGGGCCCCCTCTTGGTATCCCCGTTTTAATTGCATCTGAGGCAACACCAACAACACCACATCCCAGCGGGCGCAGGGGGATCGGGGTCTTTTCACACCCCTGTTCTCCGGGTGCCGCCTGGGGGTCTGGGGCCCCGGGGGGAAGAGCGGGGCCACCTGGACCGTGTTTTTTGGTGGGGCTGGCTGCGGGGCCCAGGGGGCCTGCTGGTGGCGGGGCTGTCACCTCTGCTCTCCCAAGAAGGTTGGATGGAGGGGCATGAAGGCCCGGTTGAAGTTTTTTTTTTTTTCCCCTTTTGTTCGGGGGGGGGGGGTTTGGTTGGGTGGCCGGGGGAGGGTGGCCCCGGTCCCGGGGGGGGGGTCTTGTGGGGGGGGTCCCGGGCCGTTTGCGGGGTGGGGGGGGGGGGGCTTGAAGCAGGGAAAAAGATGGGTTGGGGTGGCGGTGTCGCCGCTCCCCTCCCCTACATCCGGATTTTAGGTTCCTTATGGGGTATCGATGTCCCCGGGGACCGAAAAAAAAAAACCGTGTCACCGGGTTTTTGGTCCTGGTATTTTGGATTGAGTGTTATGGTGAATGTGTGTCCGCGTTATTATTTTCTTTATTTATTATTATTATTATTTTATTCAATTTTTTTTTTTTTTCCCCGTGGTACGAGTGGGGGCACTAGGGGGAAAGGCTGATTGAATGGGTGTTTTTTTTTTTTTTGTGGTACGAGTGGGGGCATAGGGAGGGAAGGGATGATTGAGATGGTGTGTTTTTTTTTTTTTCTTTCCCCGGTTGGGTTCTCAAACCCCACCCTCTCCCAAATACTCTCAAGGTCCCCCGCTAAGTGCGGAGCCATTCCCCCCGCCTGCCTCCCCCCGCTGGCTGGCGTCGGGGGACACCGGTGCACTGGTGGAGTGGGGGGGGGATGCCCGGGGGACTGCTGGCTCATTCCCGGCGGCCCCTCCCCTGGCCCCCGGGCCCGGCCCCGGGGGTTTTTGGGGGTCCTGTTGGGGATCGGGTGCCCCTTTGGGCCCCGGATCCCTGGGGCCTGGGACTGGTCCGCTTCGGGGGGGGGGCTGGGGGTTTTTCGGGGATTTTCGGGGTCGGTGCCGGTGCCCCTTTGCTACGATGCCGGTTCCTGGGGGGGTTTTTTTTTCCTATTCGGGGGGGGGGGGGGGGGGGGGGGGGGGGGAGCGCACGGCATGGGGGGGGTGCGGGTTTGGGTCCTGTTTTTTGGGGTCTGGGTTTTTTCCCCTCGCACTTTCCCTTTGCCCATTTATTTTAATTGTAATTATTAATTAATTTAATTAATTTACCCATTTATTTTTTTTTTTTTTTCTCTTCCCTCGGTGGGGGGGGGGCGGGGTTGCGGGCGGGTGGTGTTGGTTTTTTTCCCCCTGTCGCATTTTGGGGGGATTGTTTTTTTTTTTTTTTTTTTTTTTTTTTTCTTTTCCTTTGGGGGGTTTTTGGGATGTTGTTTTCTCGGGGGGGGGGGCGGGGCCCGCTGGGTGGGGGTCCTGCTGGGGGCCCCCCGGGGGTGTGGGGGTCCGGGGGGCTCCGGGGGGGGTAGTGTTGGGGGCCCGGTCTGGGCGGGCTGGCTGCGCGGGTAGGTATTCAGGTGGGTTTTTCCCCCCTGGAGGCATGGCGGGGCTGCTCTGTTCCCGCCTGATCGCGGCGGGTGGGGCCTGCGGGGCGGGTGGGGGCCTGGAGTGGCTATGGCCGGCGCGTGGTGGGGGGCCGGGGCGGCGGAGCTGCTCTGGCCGCGTGTCAGGGCCTGGTGCGGGTGGCGGGGGGGGCGGCGGACGTGGCTGGGCTGCTTTGGCTTCGTCCGGTGGGGGGGCGGCGCGGTTCGCTCCGCTCTGGCTTTGTGCTGCCCCTCGGGCTGCTGGGGGGGGGTGGTTGCGCCGGCTGCGGCCTGCTCTTCTTGCGGTTTTGCGCCGGGCGGCTTTTCTGCTCTCGGGCTGATTCTGTGCGCGGTGTGTTTCGTTGCGCGCTGTTGGCATCGGTCTTGGTGGGGTGGGGCTGCGCTTTTGGCCGGGGGGGCGTTTTGGGGGGGTCCCGCGGCGCTCGCGGCCGGTTCGCGGCGGATGCGCATGGGCCCCGGCCGGGGGCGGGGCCGCCTGAGTGTTTTCCTGGGTGGTGCGGTCGCGGTGGGTGTTGCGGCCGGTCGCCGGGGCTTGGTGCTGGGGGGCGGGGCGTGTTTCGGTGCTCTGTGGGGCTGGGGCGTTTCGGTCGGCGCCGTGGGGGGGCTTGTGTTCGGTGCCCGGCCCTACTTCGGGGTGGCCGGCTGCCGGCGGGGCCCGCGGACTCGTCCCCGCGGCTCCCCGGGGCGCCGGCATGGCGGTGGCTGGGGGGCTTCTTCGTGGCTGTCTCTCCTCCTCCCTTGGTGGGGGTCTGGTTTCCGGGGCTGGCCCCGCCTTGGTGCCTTCGCTTCTGGGGTCCCTTTGGGTGCCTGGGGCTTTGGGTCTCCCGGCGCTGGACTCAGTGCTCTGGGGGGTGTGCCTCTCCGGCTCTCCACAACCACTATTGAGCATTTTTTCTATGGTTAAAACTTTACATGCACAAGTTCACCCTCACAAACAACTACAGGTGCTAGGCTTCAGGTACTTAGAGATTCACTTCCAAACAGAAACCCCACATTCATATCTTCAGGTAACACAGAGTACATGTCAGACTTAATAATATTACGTTAGCGATAGTTTCAAGGTGTTTGCTTTATTGTATATCTCGTACCATGTCTTTTGGTTGTGCTGTTCTTTTTTTTCATCTCATTGCAGGTGTTGAAGCAGACTGAAAATGTTTTGTCATTGTCTCCTTCCTATCTCCTCTTTCTTTCATCTTTTGTCCTGTTTTTTTCTTTTTCTTTTCCCTTCTTCTTCTTCTGTTTTTCTGCTCTACTTACATTGCAGTGTCCATATGAACTGTAAAACTCCCTGCATAATTATAATTAAGCAATTTATATACATGAAACAAGTGGAGCAGTATGGCAATTGCCATACCGCTACACTTGTGAAAGTAAAATCTGTTGGGCTCCTTTTGGCATCAAGACAATTATTCTGATTGCCACCTTGCCAGACAGGACACTGTAAAAAAAAAAAAAACTCGCTGCTTCTTCTGCTTCTGTGAAAGCAACCTTACTTTGAACGGCCGGTTCACACCGATGTCGAGCGGTTGAAGTTCCTTTGTCAGACCTCCCACAATAACGGTAAGCACAGCGTTAATTTGTTTCACCATGTTTTTCACATCAGCTGTGAGATCGGCACGCATGGAGTCACAGATTAACAGCAATGGTGATGAGTGGGAAAAAACCACCTGGTCTCCTTACATTCACCTCCCTCAGCCACTCTTTCATCATCTCCTCAATGAGGAGATGAGGAGTTCGGCATAAAACACATACCTGTTCTTTTATACACATTCCACGCCCACACTTCCCCCTTTAACGTTCTTATGGTGGTCTCAAACGTCCGCAATAACAACACACATAGGGAGCACCGCACCAAAGGGCGCGCCGCACATTTTGAGGAAAAAAAAAGACGTTTATATGCGCCTTATAGCCGTGAGAATACGTTAATCCTGTTGCTACCATCTGGGTACTTTTTCCTCCTTAGTGAGTCAAAAACATCCCTTTCACTGTGAGCTAAGATCGATTGGCTCAATATAATTCAAACAATTAAATGATATTTACCTAACATTAACTTTGTTACACTAAACAAGTCCAACACTGTAAAAACAAAAATGTCATTTAATGAGTTGACCAAAAAGCTGAATAAAAAAATTCCATGACATTAAATTGGAAAAAAAAAAAAAGCAGTTTTGTTCCGACTGTCTGTGGAGGATGAAGTTATATTTTAAGATGTTGTTTTAACCTAAAATGTTCTGTTCTTCTGCACAGATTCATACCTGGTAATATTGAGCAGCAGGTTAGCCACTATGTTATTCATTGCATCAAAAGGTTTTTCTGTTGGGCTGAGCGAGCCCCGTCCAGAGGTGACGGCGCTGTCCTTCCTCAGCACAGAGCCAGGCTTTGCACCATGAGACATAAGGCTGATCTTGTTCACAATGTTCACTAAAGACTGCAATGGAGAAAAGGCAAAGCAGGGGCAGAAAAACGGAACAAACAAAAACAAAATCAATCAGGGATTTGTTTATTATGCAAAGTTCAGCAAAAAAAGAGAGAAAGTGAAACCTGGTTTTCCACAGGAAGGACACAGTCTGCATGCTCTGTCAGCTCTCTCATGGCAAGGACGCTGTTGTAGGGAGAAGTGATGACGTCGTCTTCTGCTGATGGATACATGGCGGTGACGATGCGACACACGTCAGGAAACTCCTCTTCCAGCAGGCTGAGCACTCTGGTCCCCAAACCGGAGCCTGTACCTGGATAAACCAGTCAGTGTGGTAATAGAAATGATACAAACCAAGGAACTGGTAGGAACAAGCTTTAGTTTAGGTACAACCATTGCTCTAAATTTAACTAAAGACAAAGGACGAACAAAAGAAAACCCATTTAGCCCAATGCATTTTGTTTATATCTCTGCGAAAACCATCTAAAAATTGAGAAAAAATGTCTTGAATTAAGTGTATTTACCATTAATTTGAGTAGGTAAATAAGATAATTTGCCAATGGAATGAGTATTTTTAGTCTTAAAATAAGATAATTAGATAATATTCACTTGAAATAAGACAATGCAATTGTGTTTTCTTATTTTAAATGTAAATTGTCTTGTTCCATTGGCAAAGAGTCTCATTTAACTCCTCAATTCAAGAAAAAATGCACTCATTGCAAGAAAAAATGACTTATTTAGATTTCAATTTTTTTGCAGCATCTCTGGTCCGTGTGATATATTTTATTTTCATGCTTTATGCTCTATTTTATCTGGTAATTAGATGCATTTTGATTCATATTGTTACTCTGGGTGAAAGAGAGGCTGAGAAGGAAGACACTGATGTTTGACATACATACTACACTAAAATGTTTTCTTGACGTTATTAAACTTAAAAGATATAACAAACTATGTTACCTGTTATGATTTTGAACAATCTTAAAAAATAAAATTTGTTAAACACGATAAACTTATAATGTACAGAAATGTAGAACTATCATTAAAAAGACAGGAGGTAGGAATATTTACCCCTTTGTTTGAATGAAAGGGATGCTATCTGTGTTATAGCTCTCTGTTTATGGTCGAATCAGTGCTGGGAAAGACTTTGTGCAGTTAGCTGGGTCTATTCCTTTCCTGTTACAAGTGTGTGGCATAATGCCTTTTACTTTTCAACCCATATCCACATTTTCCAATCAAAGCAGAGATGTTCAGCTGCTCCTCCATGCAGCACGGCTAAATGGGAGCTATTAAGGTGAGAACTGAATGAGTTTAACCAGAGTTTATATTCACAACCAGAGCAACAGAAAGTTTATGCTGCATCCTTGGATCCATTAAAACAGTGAAAATATTCTAGACCAGACTCTGGTTCTACACTTTCAATACTCCTTAGTGATTTTCCCCTCAAATTTCACGTCTTTAGTGCTTGGTACACCCAGTTCACATCCAGCTGATGGAGCAACTACATTGTTATTATGTTGTATATTGTATTTAAACAACTTTAAAAACAATATGCCTGCTCGAGCCCATCACCCTGTTTAAATTGTGCTTTTCTCGTAGCTCAGGGGTGCCGAACCTTTTTTAAACCAAGTTCTACTTTTGAAGCTGATGGCATGCCGAGATCTACCAAGCCAAACACAAGGGATGGGCAGTATTTGTTTTTTATTTGCATAGGTGGAGAATAAACAGTAAGTCCAACAAACGAGAAATTATCAATTGTGTCAAAAAAATAGGTTGCAAAAACAGAACCATATCACTCACTCACTCACTCAAACTGTGGAAAAGAGCAGTCAAGATCTCAAGACAAAGGCTGTGCAGACAAAAAATCTAAATACACCAATTGATGAACACAGTCCAGTAGAGAGAAAACAAAAAACGTCAGAACTGTAAATTTACAGTTATATGTTTATATATATATATATATATATATATATATATATATATATATATATATATATATATATATATATATATATATATATATTTGTATATATGTATATGTCATTTTGTTTACACTTGTGTAAACGAAATGACAAATAAAATCTGTCTAAGTCTAAGAAGGGAAGAATGATAAACTTCACTGGGCGTTGGCATTGACAGAGAAACTGGCAGATGGATTAAAAGTCAACAGGAAAACAGATAAAAATAGGAAAATACTGAGGTAAAAACTATGTGGATGTGAAGATGTAACATACAGCAGAATGGGTTGTTGACTGTTTCTTTAATTTCCGGCAAAAGTTCCTGTGATGTTATGAGCCAGAAAGCTCTTGAACTCCAATACCCAGCATGCAATGGGGCGCGTGGCGTCAAGGGTTGGAGGCTAGAGCGAGAGGGCAGTTCTGAATGTAGCTTGCTACTGAAAGGTTCTGTGGAAGTTTGGAAATAAATATACAGAACAAGTTTAAATTTACAGTTCCAAAAATCTTTCAAAGAATCTGCCAAGGCTCAGCCACCTGACGTCGGTGTGCAGCAGCAGATCAGGATGGTCTGCACCTGCCCCCCCGAGCTGGGCACAGAATAAACGCCTCTGAAAACTCCTGGCCCGAACAGAGCAAGCGATCTGCATTGCAACATCCATGACATGCTTCATATTTAAAATATTGCCGCACAGCTGTTGTTGCTGAATGATGCAGCGGTTGATCCAAAAAATCCGGGAAAGTTTCAGACAGCTTGAACAGAGCAACGAATTCAGCAGTGTGCCAAGCCATAGATGGAGCCCCATCAGTTGTGATAGATGTCATTATCTCATTATCTCTGCAGATTCCTCTTCGCACTTTAGAGTCCCTGGTAACACCCTAGCAACCGTGGCAAACCATGCCCAGCAATTCCAATGCATAAAAAAGGTTCCCTGCATACTTTTTACTTTTCATTTTATTATTATGAAAATAGACGTTGGCCTCTCGTGATCAATGATTTGATTAGTGTTTTTTAAAACGTTTTTTTTTGTCATAGCCATAAATAGGTCTACATTGTAAAACTTCTCGCGATCGACTGAAACTCCGCCCGCGATCGACTGGTAGATCGCGATCGACTGGTTGGGCACCCCTGTCGTAGCTCATACAAGTTTACTGTGTTCACATACAGTGGGGACTCACAGTTAACTGACCCTTTGGACAGATGATGACTGCTTTTTGCCTTGGTCATGTAACTCTTCTCCATCTTTTTTATTGGTCGCCGCTGTCAGGTAGTGACAGCCTATGGCAACAGTGGGCCTCTGTAATAGCAAATCCCACAGTGCTTTACGAAGAAAGCTCTCTGTGAAAATCAATCTTGGATATATCTGTCTCTTCTGAGGCCTTTCTTTTCTTCTCATACACTTCATAGACACTCTTCCAACCCTCTGCCATTTTCAAAGAACCGCGGTGAGAAAGGTGAGCTTCAATGACTGTCTGAAACCGTAGCTTACCACAGATATAAATGCCTGAAAGTGCGCATGAACTGATTGACAATTAGGAGGACCTCTTATTGAGATGATCCATCTGGAAATAACCAATCGTCTTCTACTGCATACCTTTAATAGGAACATCCACAACTGATAAATTGAGTTATAAAATATGGAAACATGACTCGTGGGATCCCAGTTGATTGACAGGCAAATGTAGAGTATTTACATAATTAAAAAGAAAAGTTGGTGATATCCAACCTTAATTTTTTAACTGGATCAGGTTAAAAGACCAAAGAAGCCATAAAGTGCAAGTTCAGAAGATTTATGCCGATTTTTATTAGTGATGTAGTGACAGTGAGCTATGGGCTATTAAAAGGCCTCTTGCTAGTAACTCAATTGTAACGTAAATGATTTCTCATTTCAACCTTTGCGTGTATTAGCTGCAACATATGAATCAAGATGCTATGACCGAAAAAATTTGATTGACGGATGAACGTTGATATATGATTGGCCGAATTTAGGTGTTCAGGCTGACGTAGAACTAACTAGCCTGCAGAAGATAACAATTTAAAGACATTTAAGACAGATTTTATTTTTAAATAGAAATTTTCTAACTTTTGGGACAATATCATCTGATAAAGAGTACATTTATATGCATGTTTAAGCCAGAATTATATTAATAAATTGACGTTTAAATATGACTTCCCTACAACTATAACAAGGTTGCCCCACCTACATTACCGTATTTTCACGACCATAAGGCGCACCGTACTAAAAGGCGCAGTCTCAGTTATGTGTCCCATTACTGTATTTAACACACACATAAGGCGCACCGGACTATAGGGCGCGTTTTTTATATACAGGTACATGTCCTCTACTACCTTTAAATACCTCTACTGCGTATTTAAAAATACAGCGGGCCCAAAACTGAGTATGACTGTGCTTTATTCATGTATTTATTACAAAGTATTAATCAAACCTGCGAGCTGGCCATGAGACAGACACATCGCAGATGACAGAGCGCTGTGATTACTCCTAAATTAACTTAAAATCCTGAAACCTGCCGACGGAATATGTTCGCTTTTATTGCCCGTATCCTGGTGCCTGCAGTTTAAATTATTTAGATGAAAAACACCTGCCAGCCGCTGCGGTGAGGCTGCTGTTGAAGGGATTTCTACTGTCGGCGCACCGCTGGTATGTGGGGGTCTGAGCGCCTCCGACAGAAATAGATAATCTGGATGAACTGACTGCAATTAAGTTTTCAGGTGGCCTTTCTCACTTAAAAACATATTAAAACTACTTTATTCCCACTGATCACAGCAAATATAGCTGCAAGATTTAGATTATTTAGATGAAAAAACACCTGCCAGCCACCGCGCTGAAGAGGATGAGACCCGGCCCGGAGGCTGCTGTTGAATTAAGTTTTCAGGTAGAAAAATAGAGCGGGAGCAAAACTGAGTATGTTTGTGCTTTATTCATGTATTTATTACAAAGTATTAATCAAACCCATCAAAGTCATCATCCTCTGTTTCTGAATTAAACAGCTGCGCTAAATCAGACATGCCAGTTTCCCATTCTTCGCTGTCAGAGTCACTTTCCGTGCAGCGCGGCTCCTCAGAAATAATGCCAGCTTTTGCGAAAGCTTGAACAACAGAGCCAGCAGACACTTTAGTCCAAGCATCTACAATCCATCCGAAAGGTGGCGTAACTTGCCCGGCGCTGCCTTCCACTTATCCTGAAACTGTGGTCTCCGTCTGTCATCCATCGCTCCCACGCCGCTCGCAGCCTTACTTTGAACGGCCGCTTCACACCGATGTCGAGCGGTGGAAGTTCCTTTGTCAGACTTCCCGGGATAACGGCGAGCACAGCGTCCATTTGATTCACCATGTTTTTCTCATCAGCTGTGAGATGGGCACGCATGGAGTCACAGATTAACTGCGATGGTGATGCGTGGAAAAAAACACCTGGTCTCCTCACATACACCTGCCTCAGCCACGCTTTCATCATCTCCTCATCCATCCAGCCTTTTTCATTTGCGTTAATATCATATGTCATCAGAGCGCTGTGTCTGTCTCGCTGTCAGCTCCCAGATCAGCTTCTGATTGGTTGATGCGGCGCGTCAAGCAACAAAACTTCAATTTTTCCATCTCGAGCAGCAGCAGCGCGTTGGCGGTGCGTCAGATGCTTAAACGCTCCCGACGCGCTGCGCCTGCTGCTCAAAACGCGCTGCAGGACCTTTTGCTGCACCTATAAGCGCGTCAACCATTGACTTTGCATGTAAACTCGCTGCTTCTGCTGCACCTGCTGGGTCCGGTTCACACCGATGTCGAGCGGTTGAACAGCGAGCACAGGGTTAATTTGTTTCCCCATGTTTTTCACATCAGCTGTGAGATGGGCACGCATGGAGTTACATATTAACAGCGATGGTGATGAGTGGAAAAAAAACACGTGGTCTCCTTACATTCAGCCACTCTTTCATCATCTCCTCAATGAGGTGGTCTCAAAAGTCGCAGTTACAACACACATAAGGCGCACCGCACCAAAGGGCGCACCACACATTTTGAGGGGAAAAAAAAGACGTTTAAGTGCGCCTTATAGTCGTGAAAATACGGTAGTCAATCTAATGGGCAGCAAGATAATTTCTGAAATAGAGTGATATGAAGAAAGCAAAACATTTCTCAATTATTCTTGAGTGTCCCCCAGGCATCAGCTGCACTGATCAACTCCTGCAGTGTGACCGACAGAGGAGGAAGGAAGCATAAAGGAACATTGCATGGCTTTATTGGAGGCAGAGAAATCAACAGGTCTGAATTTGGCATAAAGAGACTAGAAGAGATCAAAGTTCCTTTTGAGGACTGCAGAGGCCAGGCTTACAACAATGGGGCAAACATGAAGGGGAAAAACATGGGAGTTCAAGCCAGCCTGCTACAAATGAATCCTAGAGCTCTTTTTGTGCCATATGGAGCTCATATCCTGAATTTGGTTGTGGAAGTTGCTTCCAAAGCTTCCATTAACTATTTTGGCATCATACACAAGCTTTCACCCTATTTTCAGCCTCCACTCAGAGATGGGCCACACTAAAATAAAACACGTGGGTATCACTTTGAAGATGCAAACTGACACAAGGTTGGGAAGTCAAGTGAAGAGTGTTGAGCCCCTGAGATATGAGGCAGCTGCTGTGAGAAAAGCACCGACTGAGGTGAGAAATCACCCCATCATTAAGGTTGAGGCCCAGTCCTTGTCAGAGGAGGTGAGATTCTACAGCTTCAGCATCTGTAGAGTTGTGGTATGAAACATCATGTGAGCAAGTCGATGCATTCTCCCAGCATGCAACAAGTGTTGCAACTGGATTTGCAGAGAAACGTCTAAAATGTGCAGCAAACTGGACCTCGAGAACCTGAATTGAAGAAGCCTGCTCTATAGTTGTGCTGCTATAGGCTTAGCCTGCTAGAGGACATAGAGGCCACTGTTCCTCACTGTGATACATTTCAATTCTCCAATTTTGCATTACTTGTTAGTTAAACTTTTGGCATTATTCTGTTTTCTCATTTTGTAGTAGCTTTTTCCAGCTAGGTTCTATTTAACTGTGAAACAATCCTGCAAAGATGTCAGCAAAGGACATCTATGAGGATGAAGTTTGAGGTTGTTCTAAACAAACCACTGAGGTCCACACAGTGCAGGTTCTCCCATTAAGAATTTGATGAGCCATGACGCTCAGAAGAAGCTGGAGCTCTCCTTTTTCATTGCTGTTGATGCTGCAACTTAAGCTGTTCAGGTAAGACTTTCCACACTGCAGGAGGTGAGAGAGAAGCTTGGAGCGCTCTCTAATTTCAGGATCTTGCAGAAATCTATCCCAATCTGTGGTTTGCCTCTTCCAGTAGCAGCAGCTGGACCAGAGAGAAGTTTCTCCAAGCTGAAGCATTTTCAAACATAGTTCAGGTCCACAAAGTCACAGGAGCATCTCTCTTGACTTGCCATCATCAGCATCAATTGACATCATTAATCCATAGCGAACGAGTACAGGGAGCAAGACAGCAAGTACAGCAAGAAAATATGTACACTAATTTATGTTGATTTATCACCAAAATGTTGATTAAATTCAACATAAGAAATGCTCTGTTTTTAACTTAGGGCTTTTTGTGGCGTTCTTCGGTCTGTTTTGTTAGATATCAGCAACCTCTCTTCTTTGAAAGGAATTCCTTAACTTTTGCACACTCAGTGTTTGTTGTTGCACTTTTAAAAAAAGAATCAAATGTCAGTAATATGATTATTTGCAGCAAAAGACAGACTTTTTAATAGGACGCAGGGTAAAAGCCTCACTGCATGTCTGTGCATCAAAACAAAAGTGTCTTCTGTGGCTGAAGAAACCCCAGATTGCACAAACAGTTTGTTAGACATACAGAGCTTTACACCTCAGAAGATGCAAAAATCTGTAAACAAAAAAAAAAAATTATGTCTAGTTTAAAACAGCTTGCAATCACATCTACTATTTTGTTACCTTAAAAAAAGATATTAAAGTTATACCAGATTGACAGGCCTTAAATATAAATATGGCAATTTTTGAACAAACTTGACTCTGAAGAATCTATTCTCTCTATCAGAGTGTTGGAGTGACTCACCTCCTCCCATTGAGTGAATGAGAAAGAAGCACTGGAGACAGTCGCAGTGTTCTGCAGCCTTCCTCAGTTTGTCCACTATCAACTCCTTGTAGGCAGAGCCGTATGTCAGGTTACCAACAGCCCTGGATGGACACGTAAAGATTAATATAAGCATGTTTATATGCACAGTAGAAATCTAATACCGGAGGAAATGGGAAGACCACGTGTTCCCTGTCCATGTGTGCTTCGATTAAAAACTGATGAGGCAGGGTGATGTTTAAAGAATTTATGGATGTAGAGTGGAGAGACAATAGAAAGGCTTATCAGAGAGCATTCACTACACCTAGGCTCCTGATGAAGAATGCAAAAGGGTTCTCACCACTGCATTTCAGCATAATGGGCCGTAATACTGAGTAAGGGTGTTAAAGATGGGTCATGACTGGGTCTTCCAGTAACGGTAGCTAAGGAGTGGCTCCGCCCCCTTTGCTTTAGAGTCTGTCATTCAAAGTGAATATAAGATAACAATTGTGACATATATACAGTAGTAGCCATTCAAAATTTCCCCACTTTCCTTGATGGGTCCTTGGCTAATCCCCTACAATTCCTTTTTAAACATCAATATTTGTACTAAAATACTGTCATGATTTGCAGACATTAAGGGCTAAAGAGAAGCGTCATCTCCTGGTCAGTCCCTGTCATTCAGTGAAAGGGTGGAGTCAGAGTAAAAAAATATGCTAGAGGGGGTCACCCCAGTGGCTGGATGTTGGAGGGGATTTCACTGGGGGTTGCAGGGAAGTGGGCTGCCATTCGGCTGGCGTTTGCCTAGGAAGGGCCATTTTGAATCCACTGTACCCATACAGTGGTGGACAATAACTTGGAAAATTTACTTTATTACTGTACTTAAGTAGAGAAATATCAGCTGTGCTGCTTCCATCAACACCCTTGTTTATAGATGCTGGAGATCGGCCTGTTTTCCAGTGTAGTCCTGTTTCTCTGACCGTGACTGGGGTGATGTTCTCTCTTCGTCCTCTGGCATGGGAGCTGGCTCGGAGCTCGTCTGCCTGGCTATGTGTTTTCTGGACGGGGCCGCCTTTTACAGCTGCTTTTTGTGTCTCTGCTTCTTTTTCTATCTCTGCTTCTGTCTCCTTGAACCCCAGTCGGCCTCAGCAGATGGTCGCTCACACTGAGCCTGGTTCTGCTGGAGGTTTCTTCCTGTTAAAAGGGAGTTTTTCCTCTCCACTGTCGCTACAAGCATGCTTAGTGTGAGGGATTGTATTTGAGTCAATAAGTCGATGCAATCAACTGGTTTTCCTTAGATAGAAAACTTTGAATCAATTTGACTGGATGATCTGGTTGAACTGTAAAGTGCCTTGAGATGACATGTGTTGTGAATTTGGCGCTATATAAATAAACTGAATTGAATTGAAGTAAATTTGTGAGTACCTTTACACTTAACTTTTACTCAAATGGTCTTTTGACTTTGGTCAAATGGTCGCTCATTAGCAGGCATATGCAGAGCTTTGACATGTTGAGGAGGAAGTAGCTACCTCCAGGGTGAAGAACTAAAACATGTGTAAACATGCAAGATAGGAATGAGAAACTCAGGTCAGATATTATTTGTAGGTTACAAATTTCATTAAGGTGTTAGTTGTTGCCTTGTGGCCAAGTTGTTCAGTAGGATAGGTTCTCAAAGCAGGTTTGTAGTTTCTTTGTGGTAATAGATTGAAGTTTAAACCTTTATTTCACAGTGAAAGTGTGAGGATACTCAGGACGCTCCTGTTTTCTCCAAAATAGCTGCCCTTATTTTTTGCGGCACTTTTATGCTTAAGTTCTTTACAGGTGCCGTAAAATTGGAGTGTCAATACATCAGGTGGATTACAAGTTACAAAGTTTGCAAAATTACTCTGAAAATTACACAGAAATGTAGTAATATTTGAAAATTTAATTTGTAATTTTGAATACTTAAGTACTTTTAAATGGATGTACTTTTGAGTACTTTTTTAAAGATGAGCAGAGACACATCTAAAGTGTGCAGCAAACAACCTCGAAAACGGGAATTGTAGAAGCCTCCTCTACAGTTGTGCTGCTATAGGCTTAGGCTGCTAGAGGACATAGAGGCCACTGTTCCTCACTGTGATACATTTTAATTCTCCTATTTTGCATTGTTGGTTAGTTCATCTTCTGGCATTATATGCTGTTTTTTTTTTCGTTTCATAGTAGCTTCATCTGGTCTGTTCCTGTTTGGCCATGAAACAATGCCTGAAGGAGGCATCAGCTGGACTGCTGCCATTAACAACATTCATCATGATAAAGTTAGGCCTGTTTTTTGATGTTCAATGGAGTGTTCTGGGAGTTCTTCCTCTCTACTCCAGCATACACACTCAGTATGAGGGACAATGTAGGTGACTGTCTTCCATCTTTAGCTGGTCATTTAGGAGTGAATTATCCAATACAACATTAAACCAGTCAGTCTGAATAATTTGATTATGTAAAGTGTGTTAAGAGGACATGTTTTAAATTGGCGCTTCATGAACAAACTGAATTGAGTTTTGACTAGACTTAATACATTGTACTACCATGAGGTTAGGCAGAGATAGGGCTGCTTTTGAAGAACAATTTTGAAAATATTTCATGTCTACATTCCAGTGGCGGCCGGCCCGTAGGGGGCGCTGGGGCACCTCCTTCCCTGATAAGAAGAGAGAAACGTAAAACATATTTTTAGAAATTAACTCATATATGTCACTTTTACTCTCTAGACTGTGTACCTATAAGCAAAACAAATTATATAAACTACATTTCCCTATCTACTGTCATTCATTTGTGGATTTCCACAGACAGACTCCTACCGTCTCTGTTCTGGGGGCGCTGATCAGACAGCCCCACATATGCAGAGAATCTGTCAATCGTGTACTATTGCTAGGTGAATTTAATGGCCAATCAGCGTCTCAGAATTTTATGGTCTTGGGGCGCTGAAAATACTGCGCTTTAACAGGCTTCTGAACCCAAGCGCAGGTGCAGACAATTAGAGGGAAGATGGCGAATGTAACGAACGAGATGCAGCTTCCACCAAATTCGGTGAGATCCTTATTTATCTACCCGTTTGCCAGAAGAACATCCATGTTGTAGAATATGAACATTTCATGTCATGGTTATTGTGACTGTGACGAATCCACCTCGTCACTTAAAACAACCTCTCTAACTTTGCGTGCCACACACACATTCCTGTTATACTGTGCTTGTGAGGACCAATACACTCGCGCTGAGACCAGTAGCTCCATGAACTTAAAACACACAAGCTGTTCCTGGTTACCTGCTGGCGTATTGAGGGTGCACACTTAATATTTCAGTGGGGTTAGCCGTGTGTGTGTGGGTGTGCGGGGGGTGTGGGTGTGTACGTGTTTATGCTACGGGGACTTGTCATCTTCAGTCTGGCTGCGTCTTTGCTGGGTTCAAACCCAGTTTGGTGTAATTGAATAAGTCAATGAATCTGTGTAAAAGAATTAAGTTGTAAAAATTATTTGTTTTTGTACATCAATTGTTTGTGGAGGTAATATATGGACAAAACTGATTAATGCGAATAAATCAGAAATAAGAGAGCCTGAGGGGAGGGGCTTAAACTATTTAATGAGGGCTGTGGGAAGAAGAGCGGCCATTTCTGTTTTCTGTTTCTTTGTTACATTGCTGGTAACTGGAGGGAGGCTGAGGCCCAGAGTATCTTGGATATGTTTAGTTTCTTTTGCACCCTGTTTTGAGTTTTTGAGCACAATAAATCACCAACACCGGTAACCCGACTGAGCCTGGATTCTTGAAGGTCAAAGAACCCCGTCACAGTGACCCAAATCATCACTGTTACTGTTATTATATAGTAAATTAAATCATTACTGTTAAATTGTATTTCATTTCCAATTGTTTATTTGAATTCTTATTCTGGATTAGTTGGAGACATACACTAGGCTATATCAGCCCCACCAAAAATATTTTTCACCAGCCGTCACTGCTACATTCATCAGACACACTCCATTACAGACTCCGCTGTAAAGCCGGGCATACACTGTGTGATATTTTCAATCGTTGGACACAGAAACCTCAGGGTTTAAAAGTTCACAGCTCACAATGCATGTTCTGACAGTGTGCGACCGATGCAATCTAATTGTCTTGTTTGCACATGCGTAGTGCTCGAGGTTCTGGTAAATCGGCTCGTAGCTCTGCTTCAACAGCAGGATTTGTCCACGACCACCTCATGACTGCTGGATAAATTTCAAACTTGTTTGATTTCTCCTGAACTTATGTTTTCTTATCAGGAGGTGGTCGCCCCTCGTAACCCACTGTATACTACACAACGCAGGACGCACGATCAGGCTGAAAGTCGGCCCGATCAAAGAATTCTCGCACGGCTGGAGATTCGGCCCGAAAAGGGCAAAAAAAAAATCGTACAGCTTACACCCGGCTTAAGGACGAATATGATTACACAGCAACTTTATTTGAAAGAATATACTATCCTCTACCTTTACCTTCACTATCATACACCATTTTGGATCACAGCATAAAATCCTAAAAACAAACAAAAAACATATCAAAGAATATTATTGATCCCAACATAATGTAGAAAAGGATATAAAGTACATTTTTTCAAGACATTGTAACTGTACTGTATGTAATGAGATTATCTGGCACACCAACACCATTTGCTAGACTTATAAGAGCTATAAGAGCTACACGTGTTCTGGATTTTTCACAGATGCCGGCTTAACAAAGTCACATAACTCAAAACTAGCTGATCTCAAAGTGTAAAGCTAGAGTTTGTTTTGCAACAGTGACATCTCCGGAGGTGGAATGAATGAAAGCCGCCGTCAGTGCAGTCAGCGCCTAGTGTGACACAAGATAATGACTATACTAAGAAAAGAAACGTGCTTCCGTGCAGCCAGCAGTTACAGAATGAAAAAGGTAATTGTTCCTGAAAGAAAAGATGCTAAAGCGGTTTAAAGTGTCCTGTGGGAACTCCCCTTTAATGTGCCTTAAATTCTTTTCTCACTGAGTCACTAACAGCTTCAGTTCACATGGATCTTTGGTTTTTCAGCCTCGCTGTCACGTGGCAGAACACATGCAGGGAAATTTTCACACATCTTGTTTCACAAAGCTTTGAATCTTGCCTATGATGTACAGCGATATGATTCACAGAAAATTAAAAACAATGACACTAATCCAAATCAAAACACAGATACAGTTGAACTGAACTGGATAGTTCAGGTACAGTACATTTCATCTTCACAGCACAATCAAAATGATGGTTTTAGTGAAGATATTTGACATCCTTTTACCAGAAAAAAAAGAAAACCAATATAACTCAATTAGAGCTATTTGGCTTATTTCCTACCCCTAAGCACAAAACAATTAGCAATCAGCATGTTGTAACAGCACGTGTTAATGACTGTAAAATAGCTGCCACATGTTTAAAAATATGATGCACCACAGTTGCTCCACCCCGTTAGAGCTCAAAGGACTCCTGTGGCGAGTCTGTCTCTCACCAGTTGTTGCCTGAACCCGAGACGTCTGTGAGGAGCTGAGCGCTGTCGAACACCTCCCTCAGTGCGCCCTGCAGGATCCCGTTGACCACGCCCTCTTCCATATCAATCAGGACCGCCTGTGGATGTAAATATGTGAGATGCGCCCCTCATGTACACTTCAATGGAATCGCACTCACGCACTCTCTTCACCAGGCATTTCAGACCTGAGTTTTAGAAGCTAAGAACCTCTGAGCTTTTAAAGGTCATATGTTATATATATATACATATATATATTTCTATAGCGCCAATTCACAACACATGTCATCTCAAGGCACTCTACAGTTCACCATACCATTACGTCAAATTAATTAAACAGGAAGAAACCTCCAGCAGAACCAGGCTCAATTTAAGCGGCCATCTGCTGAGGCCGACTGGGGTTCAAGGTGACAGAAGCAGAGACACAATAGACAACTTTAAGCCAGCTCCACAGGCGACCCCGTCCAGGAAACACACAGCCAGGCAGACGAGCTCCGAGCCAGCTCCCATGCCAGAGGAGGAAGAGAGCACATCCAGCCAGTCACAGTCAGAGAAACAGGACTACACTGGAAAAACAGGTCGATCTCCAACATCTATAAACAAGCAGCACAGCTGATATTTCTCTCCAGGATGGAGTCACAGCCAAACAGGAACAGACCAGATGAAGCTACTATGAGAAAAAGCAGAGAGAGCAGAACGTTAGAGATTGAACTAACAGATTCTGCAGAGTGGGAGAATAGAGACAGAATGAAGCAGAATGATGAAATGGGGGTCCCTATGTCCTCCAGCAGTCTAAGCCTATAGCAGCATAACTATAGAGATAGCTCAGGATAACCTGAGCCACTCTAACTATAAGCTTTATCAGAAAGGAAAGTTTTAAGCCTAGTCTTGAAAGATAAGTTCTCTAAAAACAATAAAAGTTGAAGCTGGCTTATCATATTCAAATATAAAATCTCTCTGGAGAAACTTTGACACTGAGAAGGAAGAAAGCCTCAGGAATAAATAATGTTTAAATTAAGTCGTATCACATTTTAGATAACAGCGAGTGTTGAGACGTTACTGTAGTTAAGTCCCAAACCACGCTGTTGAACAGCGACCAGAGAAGTGGTGTAAACTGTGTAAAGGGTGCCCAGCGTGGAGAATGGTGTTTCATGTTACATGACTGCAGTGCTATGCTCAGCTGGCGGTTTTCCAGTTTCTTCCTGTGACCTTGATTACATGTCATCCTGTGGCATGCCGTTTAAAAAACGTATGTGCTTCCCTCTTTGTTTACATAACTTTAGATTATTCAACACTGCTAATAGATGTTGGTTTATTTCCAAGAGTACATTTTGAAGTTAATGCAGGAAAAAAATACATTATAAAGTGGATTTTCTCCCTAATTTCCTATCAGTTTACAGTCACTGTCCAAACTCAGTGCACCTTGCCCCTTTTTGCCTTTTACACTGAAATAATTTATAATTGAATAAATTTAACAAAAAGGATTGAAAATATGTTTAAGATTTTGGTCACCATTCCTGCAGATGTGTCTGCTTTTCATCCAGGATATAAATAACCCATCCCATACAGTTCAAAGATGCTTTCCTGGATCAGTAGATGTGTATTATAATGTGCCCATACAGAGACAGACATGGTGGGCAATGCTACTAAGGTAGCCTGTGGTCTTAAATTACGCGAGTCCTGATAAGAACATGACGCCAAGCCCAGGCTGCCATATTTTGACTCACAGATACACACCATTACATTACTAGCTAATAATTTGAACCAACTATTTGAATCCAATGGCTTAAGTTAAGATTTTTCAGAGAATTCAAATCAGATAATTTCTATAGCACCAATTTACAACACATGTCATCTCAAGGCTCTTTCCAGTTCACCAGATCATCCAGTCAGATTAATTCAAAGTTCTCTATCTAAGGAAAACCAGCTGATTGCATCGACTCATTGACTCAAATACAATCCCTCACACTAAGCATGCTAGTGGCGACAGTGGAGAGGAAAAACTCCCCTTTAACAAGAAGAAACCTCAAGCAGAACCAGGCTCAGTGTGAGCGGCCATCTGCTGAGGCTGACTGGGGTTCAAGGAGACAGAAGCAGAGATAGAAAAAGAAGCATAGATACAAAAGGCAGCTGTAAAAGGCGGCCCCGTCCAGGAAACACACAGCCAGGTAGATGAGCTCCGAGCCAGGTCCATGTCAGAGGATGAAGAGAGCACATCCAGTTAGTCACAGTCAGAAGCCAAGAGATTAAACTAACATATTCTGCAGAGTGGGAGAATAGAGATGGAATGAAGCAGGATGATGAAAAAGGGGTCCCTATGTCCTCCAGCGGTCAAAGCCTATAGCAGCATAACTATAGAGATAGCTCAGAATGTTTTTCAATCTGTTATGCTTGAGTCACAATGACTGTATGCCTTTGTTCCCTGTTCAAAGGTGACTCTCGCTGCACTCAATGAGGTCTGCTGCTACTGCAAACCATGTGTTTCCAGCTCCCATGTGCGTTTCTCTGTTTTCCTAGATGGTATTCTGCATACTTTTGGTGCTTATACCTGTTATCGTAAAACTGCAGTTATTTTCTAGTTATAGTTTTAGTAATGCTATTTTATGTTTGAGAGAAATTGTAGGCATTTATAGGATAATTTTATTGGAATTTTAAACCAACACAAAGTGGTGAATAAATGTATGGAAGGAGAATAAAACGTCATTATGACACAGTAAATACAGCCTGTCTGTTCTAATCCCAGGTTAAATGCAGCTGATCTGTGATGCAAGCACACATTTGTTTGAGCAAAGCTTGTTGAAGAAAACTGCACCACAACACATAACATAACCTTAGAGGCATTAAGGCTGATACTGGCACTTACATTTATATAGTTTATAAAACGAAACATTATTGTTAACTAGGCTTATTAACTTTGTAACTTTACTTTTTAACTTTTCAATTAGCTTTTTACCTTTTTTTCTTGACTTGTTAACTTTTTTTAAATTAATTTACAGTGGGTAATATATCATTTAAGGGCTCATCTAATTGGTCAAATGCCAAAATAAGATGTACAGCCATGTAGTAGGATCTTTGCTGAATGGCTGAACATACACTATATTGCCAAAAGTATTTGCTCACCTGCCTTGACTCACATATGAGCTTAAGTGACATCCCGTTCCTAATCCATAGGGTTCAATATGACGTCGGTCCACCCTTTGCAGCTAGAACAGCTTCAACTCTTCTGGGAAGGCTGTCCACAAGGTTTAGGAGTGTGTTTATGGGAATTTTTGACCATTCTTCCAGAAGCGCATTTGTGAGGTCGCACACTGATGTTGGACGAGAAGGCCTGGCTCTCAGTCTCCGCTCTAATTCATCCCAAAGGTGTTCTATCGGGTTGAGGTCAGGACTCTGTGCAGGCCAGTCAAGTTCATCCACACCAGACTCTGTCATCCATGTCTTTATGGACCTTGCTTTGTGCACTGGTGCACAGTCATGTTGGAAGAGGAAGGGGCCAGCTCCAAACTGTTCCCACAAAGTTGGGAGCATGGAATTGTCCAAAATGTCTTGGTATGCTGAAGCATTCAGAGTTCCTTTCACTGGAACTAAGGGGCCAAGCCCAGCTCCTGAAAAACAACCCCACACCATAATCCCCCCTCCACCAAACTTTACACTTGGCACAATGCAGTCAGACAAGTACCGTTCTCCTGGCAACCGCCAAACCCAGACCCGTCCATCAGATTGCCAGATGGAGAAGCGCGATTCGTCACTCCAGAGAACGCGTCTCCACTGCTCTAGAGTCCAGTGGCGGCGTGCTTTACACCACCGCATCCGACGCTTTGCATTGCACTTGGTGATGTATGGCTTGGATGCAGCTGCTCGACCATGGAAACCCATTCCATGAAGCTCTCTGCGCACTGTTCTTGAGCTAATCTGAAGGCCACATGAAGTTTGGAGGTCTGTAGTGATTGACTCTGCAGAAAGTTGGCGACCTCTTCGCACTATGCGCGTCAGCATCCGCTGACCCCGCTCCGTCAGTTTACGTGGCCTACCACTTCGTGGCTGAGTTGCTGTCATTCCCAAACACTTCCATTTTCTTATAATACAGCTGACAGTTGACTGTGGAATATTTAGGAGCGAGGAAATTTCACGACTGGATTTGTTGCACAGGTGGCATCCTATCACAGTTCCACGCTGGAATTCACTGAGCTCCTGAGAGCGACCCATTCTTTCACAAATGTTTGTAAAAACAGTCTGCATGCCTAGGTGCTTGAATTTATACACCTGTGGCCATGGAAGTGATTGGAACACCTGATTCCAATAATTTGGATGGGTGAGCAAATACTTTTGGCAATATAGTGTATATCTTGTGCTTCTAGAGCTCACTGAGGGACGGCTGGGGACTCCATTTGTAAGGGGTTTGCAAGTGATCAAAAACGCTAACTTGCCCTATAAAGGGTTAAGCTTCAGCATGCAGAGTAAAAAGGTACCTCACATGAAGTGTGGGACCTCATGCCCCAGCGTGCCCTGGCTCAAGATAACTCTATTCCCTCCTACTAGGAAAAATGATGTACTGATGACAAGCGTCAAGCCTCGTCTGCACTACATAAGCGTCTGTCTGTACTGTTTGATGGCTGTTCTTTCCTCGGCCCAGATTAGCAGCAGGGCAGACATGTAGTTCCTCTTCCCCTCCTTCAGGGGACATTAGTTACATGCATAAGATAAAGCCATCTTTCATTTGATTGACACACTATCGGGAAAAAAAACACATAGCTAACAAAAAAAACAAACAAAAAAAAGTAAGTGAAAGGACATGAAACCGACAAAAGCATTAATAACAAATGACTTTAAATTAACCAATAAAAATGAGCTTTCAAATCGTAATTGAACAGAGACATAAAACTAAAGCAGCTAATAAAACAGGCCTGGACAAAAATGATTGTTCCTCTAGAAAAGGTTGAACAGAATTCAGGATCAGGAACAGGTAGACATGCCCATGGGGGTTTGAATGCATGCCAGGGGTCCATAAACCAGTCTTGGCCTTTTTTTCCCTCTCTCTTAATAGAGAAAATACAGACTCAGTGTTGGTGCAGCAGCGCCATCTGCTGTTTGCTGCAATACC